AAAATGAGGTTTGGTTAAAACAGCAATGTTGGATTTGGTTTTGTTGTTGTTATTGTTTGGGGGCTTTTTGGTATCAGGGACTGAATCCAGGGGTGCTCTATCACTGAGCCACATCCCCAGCACCCCCGCTTTTATTTGTGGGGCTGGGGATGGAACCCAGGGCCTTGTGCATGTGAGGCAAGCATTCTACCAACTGAGTTATATTCCCCAGGTCCCCCCACCTTTTTTTTTTTTTTTTTTCTGAGACAGGGTCTTGCTAAATTGCTTACGGCCTCACTAAATTGCCAAGACTGGCTTTGAACTTGCAATCCTCCTGTCTCAGCCTCCCAAATCACTGGAAGGAGTACAGGTGGGCACCCAGTGCAATGTTGAATCTGTACCTCATGCTTTACACTAGAATAAATTCCAAATGGAAGAAAACTTTAAAATTAAAAACTGAGAGCAGGGTACACTGATGCACACCTATAATCCCAGTGACTCAGGACACTGAAGCAGAAAGATTGCAGTTAAAGGCCAGCCTGGGCAACTTAGCAAGAACCTGCCTTAAAATAGAAAAAAAGGAAACTAGGTGACCTTCAATAGATGATGGATAAAAGAAAATGTGGTATATACACACAATGGAATACTACTCAGTCATAAAAAATGAAATTATGGCATTTTCCAGTAAATGGATGAAAGTAGAGACTATCATGCTAAGTGAAATAAGCCAATCTTAGGAAAAAACTAAGGGTCGAATGTTCTGATATGTAGATACTAACACACAATAAGGCGGGGAGGAGTGGCAAGAGAAGGGAAGAATAGAAGTTCATTGTACTAAAGAAAAGGGAATGAAGGGAAGGGTGGGGGAATGGGAATAGGAAAGATCACAGAATGAACCAGATTTGACTTTCCTATGTTCATATATGAATACACGATCAGTGTAACTCCATATCATGTACAACCACAAGAATGGGAAGTTATACTCCATGTATGCATAATATGTCAAAATACACTCTATTATCGTGTATATTTAAAAAGAACAAACTAAAAAATTAAAAATGGGATTGGGCATATAGCTCAGTGGTAAAGAACCCCTGTGTTCAATTTTTGCACAAAAACTCCTAAAACTTAAAACCATAAAAATTAGTACTACAAAAGCATGTCATCATAAAAATCTTAGAGGAAAAAAATGTGAGACTTTCCCAATCTCACTCTAGGCTTCTTAAAAATATTACCTGAAGAGATAGGGGTGTTGCTTAGTAGAAGAGCATCTAGCTCTACTACTCTCTAGCATGTTTGAGGTCCTAGATTCAATTCCTGACACTGCCAGGAAAAAAAAAAAAAAAAATAGGAAAAGAAAATCAAGCCAAACCCAATAGCCCTAAAACACATAAATTCAATAAAATAAAATAAAAATAAGCTGAAAAATTTTCAGCATGGAAAACAGTATAAACCATTAAAAGACAAAAAGCAACCTTATTACAAAGAGCTAAATTTCCTAATCCACAGAGTTATGATGCAAGAAAAAACAGAAAACTTATTAGGCAAAGAATGTGGACATCTCAGAGAAAAGGAAATTTAGAATATCTTAAACATGTTTTAAAAAAAAGTTCAAAACATGTTGATTTGCCATTGAACAGACTGGCAAAGGATCACATGATTCAATACAATTTGGCAAAGATCTGGGGAAACATATTCTTGATGGAAGCAAAAATTGGTACAAATCCAAGGAAGGACTCAGCAATTCTGCTTCTAGGAATTTATCTAACACATATTCAAATGAAAAATGATACGTACACATATCATGCATATACATGTACATGTCTGTTTTGTGGCAGTAAAAGATAATCAACCTAAATATCCACAGGCCAGGGACTGGTTTCTTAAATTACTATATAATTAAATTCTAGGCATCTGTCAAAAAGAGAAATGGGGAACTCCCTATGAACTGAAATGGAATGTTTGTCCATACTACCTTCAAAGATTATCTAGAATCCAACCATTTTTTACCACCTTGGTTGAATGAGCTCCTGACTGGGGTCTCTGCTACCACCCTTACTCCCTTTCATCTGTTCCCCAAGAATGTCCAATGAATCCTGCTAACATACAAATCACATTGTCAATTCTCTGCTTAAAACCCTTCAGCAACCCAGGGTATGGTGCACACCTATAATCTGAGCCAGCCTTGTCAACTTAGCAACACTATCTCAAAATAAATATTTTTTAAAAGGCCTGGGAGTTATGGCTCAGTGGTAAAAGCACTATTGGATTCAATCCCCAGAAGCGGGGTAAGACATGTTGGAAAACACACATACCCTCACAAACCTAAGCCCCCTTTCCTTATTTTCCTAAGGTATTTGTCACAATCTAACAGGGGCACATCCCTAGCCCCTTTTTCGGTATTTTATTTAGAGACAAGGTATTGCTGAGTTGCTTGGGGCCTCGATAAATTGCTGAGGCTGATTTTGAAATTGTGATCATCCCCACTTCAGCCTCCTGAGCTGCTAGGATTACAGATGAATACCACCACACCTGGTCACATTTAGAAAACAAATCCCATAAAGACTGGACAGAGATTTTTGTCCATTTCCAAGCTTCATCATCAGCTTGGAAAATAGCACCTATCAGTGTATCAACATCAAATGGCTGGTTTTGACATTGTACTAAAATCATGTAACCAGGAGGGAAGGAGGGGACTGGGTAAAGGGTACCTCAACAGTCCTCCCCTCTGTACCATATTTGCAAACTCTTGTGTATCTTAACTATTTCAAATATACATATATTAATATATGTGCCTAGGGCATAATGGTACTAAATATTTCCTGAATAACTCCCCACAACAGTGAAATTAAGTGCTCTACTAAATTGTGGATATTATCATTTGTGTAAAAAAAATAGGATGTATATTTGTGTGTGTATACATAAATATATCCACAAATATATAATATCTCTGGAAGAATATGTGAATACTGATTGTACTGGCTGCTTTAAGGAGAAAATCTGGGTGGCTACCTAACAAGCTTTTGGTAGTTTTTGAATTCTGAACCATGTAAATATATTATCTATTTAGAATACAGTTCAAATTGAGAAATACCTGTGCTAGCCTCTTCCCAGGGTCAATATCAACTGCACCTATCTACAATTTCCAGACATCAGGTTTGGTTCTTTTCTGAAAAATCACTATTGCCTGAGGTCTTACACTTCTGTACCTCTGTCCTTGCAGTGAGCCTTGGACTTTAAACAGCCTTCTTCACATAATGAGAACTCTTATGATTCAGAAGGAAGGGAAAAAAAGGGAAGATAAAGTAAAATAAAAAACCAGCTCTAAGACATTTTAGGGACAATAAGGGAGATTTATCACAACATATATAATACAGATGTTCCTCCTCTTACGTTGACATTCCAATAACCCATAAGTTTGAAATGTTTTTGAAAATTGCATTTAACACACCCAACCTACTGACCATGAGTAGCCTAGCCTACCTTAAATGTGCTCAGAACACTTCTTTGCCCACAGTTAGGCAAAAATCATCTGACAAAATATTTTATAATAAAGTATTAAACATCTCATGTAATTTGTTGAATACTGTAAACTGAGAGTGAAAAAAAGGAATGCAATCCTTATTATCTTTAGCAGTCAGTTTAAAACAAATAGCCCACATCAATGTAAAGCCAAAAAAAAAAAAAAGTCAACTATCGTCGTCACAAGGGATTATCTGTATTATTGAATTAGTTACTTGTGTTAAATTTGATGATTGTATCATGATAGTGTTCTTAATCTTTAGAATGTTGAAGAATTGAGGGGAAAATGTGCATGATGTCTGCAACTAACTTTCACATGGTCTCACAGAGAGGAATGTGTACCTCCAGATTTCTGTCTACATGTAGACGGTTACATGGGCTAAATATTAACAACTGGTGAGTCCAGGGAATGGCCTATATATTATATTATTACAACTATTCTGGGGATTTGGAATTTTTCAAAACAAGTTTGGGGAAAATTTTTTTAAACCATACTAGTTCAAAAAAAATTAGTTTAAATGCTTTCAAGGTATACACAGAAAGAAGAAATGACTCTCTTTTCTGCATTCCTAAAATCTTTACTTGTGTTCATACATCAATAGACTGAATGAAGACATCATGGGGCCCCATCTCAAGCCTATAACTCTTGGTACCTCACAAACAGCTTCAGGCTCATGGTTCCTAAACAAGACCTAGAATAAATATTAAATTTATTTAATTAAATGCACCACACACTAATTGGAGAATACCCAGGTATCAAGAGTGGGCAGCCCCTGGGTATGCTTATGAAATTCCTGCCCATGAGGTGTTGGGAGAACAGGGAGATTGTCAAAGGATGGCCCCAGGACAAAGTTCACTCCCCAGCCCCACTGATAATGCCCCTTTAATATGGGGTACCCAAAGTTCACAGTGCACATAATTTAATGACAAAACTTTCAATTAACTTCAGTCTGAGCCAGACGCAGTGGTGCACACCTGTAATCCAGCCTCAGTGGTCTGAGGCAGGAGGATCTAAGTTCAAGGCCAGCCTCCGCAAAACTGTATCTCAAAGTTAAAAAAACAAAGGGGCTAGGGATGTGGCTCGGTGGTTAAGCTCCCCTGAGCTCAATCCCCAGTGTCCCCGCACTACCACAAAAAATCTGTTTGCTTTCAGAGCAAGAGACTGCATGTGCACAGGCACAGGTTCACTCAGCAGGCTGCTTATTCCCTTAAATTCTTACATTATTTCCCACCTCTAGATTACAAACTCAAAAGCAGGGCTGCATCTTTTAATTCCTTGCAGTCTTAGCCATAAAAGCATCCTTGCATATACTTAGTATTATATGAGAGCAGAGAGCAAAAATTCTAAAACTCTGACTCTTAAATGTGCTGAGTGATAAGACCTTCATTTCTTCTATAAATCAGTGTTTCCTCCTCTATACAATAAAGACAACATGACAGTTGCAGAACTCCGGGCTCCTGGCCGGGGATATGTTGTGGCAAGAGCCAGAAGCCACATCAATATCTAAGGATATAACTTTATTGGAAACAAAGTGTTGGGATGTGGAAGAGAGCTAGGAGTCAGGTTCCGTGGTAGGTGGTGGCTTCTCATCATCAGGGGGGCAATCGATGAAGTCAGCCAGCATGGCAGCTGTGTCATCCTGCTCCTTTTAGGAACAAAGACATAAGATTTGAAACAGATACATAGGTATACATAGAAAAGTGGCAAACCTCTTCCCTAATAAAAGCAGCTGCACCCCATTTCCCTACCAGCCCCACCTTTCTAGCCAGAGTGCTTCTCCACCTGGCTCTCACCTTTTCCTGGAGAACTGCAGCCTCTGACTCTGTCTCCATCTCTTCTTCTGCAGCTGTCTCTGGTGGGGGTGGTACGTTGTCACCCCCACCCTCAGTCCCCTCTTCCAGCAGGGTTGGAGGAGCAGAGGGTTCTTCTTCAACAAGCTCCTGAGGAGGTGGCCCTGCCTCTGGGCTTCCCCCTTCCCTCTCTTCCTCGCCCTGAGAAGGGAGCACCTCGGGGACTAGGGTAGGGGCTGTCTCAGTCCCATGCTGCTCCTCTGATCCTGGTTCCTCCACTTCCAGCAGCAGCCCAGGCTCTGGTTCTGGCTCAGGCTGCTCTTTGGGAGACTCTGGAGGAGGGAGAGCTGGGGGCAGGGTTGGGGGTGGGGGTCCACCTTCTTCTACCTCCCCTCCTGCTGACCCAAACTCCAAGTCTTCAACCTCTTCCAACTCTTCTTCCTCCTCCTCTTCCTCTTCCTCCTCTTCTTCCTCTAATTCACCTTCTTCCTCCTCAAATTCTTCTTCAAACTCTTCTTCCTCCTCTTCTTCCTCTTCAAAATACTCTTCTTCCTCCTCTTCTTCTTCCTCAAATTCTTCCTCCTCCTCCTCCTCCTCCTCCTCTTCTTCTTCCTCCTCCTCTTCCTCTTCCTCCTCCTCTTCATCACTGCTATTGATATTAATAACTGTCAAATCTTCTTCCAGAGCTGGGGGTCCTCCCCCTCCAGGAGTCCCCTCAGGGACCAGCTGCGGTGGCGGGAGTGTCACAGGACCAGGTACAGGTGGGGGCGGGGGCGGGGGCGGAGGGAGAGGCCCGGGGGCTGCAGGAAGCTCTTCAGGCTCCTCCTTGGCTGGCACAGGAGGGGATGCTGTTGGGGGCCCAGTAGGGGCAACAGGGGGAGGAGTGGTGCCCGAGGGTGGTGGGGGTGGCAGGGGCGGAAGCCCCTCAGGCACAATCACCACACTGTCATCAGAGTCGCTTTCTAAGGAGATCTCAACATCAGATGCCTCCTCCTTATCATAGTGGACAAAGGCTGGTCTGGGCACTCTCCCCCCAAAAGTTTCATCTGGTGGGATGGTGGGTGGAGGAGTCCCACTAGGAGCAAGGACAGGGTCCTCATTGGAGCCTGCACGATGGTTCTCAGGGCCAGGAAGGAGCCGAGGGGGTACAGATACCAGGCCTGGGACAGAGAGGCCTAAGTGGTTGGCTGTGGCTGGAGGTCCAGGACGTGCTGAGGGCACAGGGCCTGCAGAGGGTATGGGGCCTGCTGAGGGCATGGGGCCTGCGGAAGGCATTGGGCCTACTGAGGGCATAGAGCCTGAAGAGGTCAATGGGCCTGCTGAGGGCATGGGACCTACAGAAGGCATAGGGCCTGGGGGCTGGAAAGATGGAGCTCTGAATGGAGACGGGGCCTCAGGAGGGGGCACAGGGGCAGGTGTGGGGCAGGTGGGGCCCATGGCCTGTAGAGGAGGAACTCGGGGGTGAGTCAGAGCAGCACAGGTCACCAGTGCTTCCGAACAGAAAGAGGAGACCTAAGGAAGGAAGAAAAGGCCACTGTGACCCTCAGGAATACATGGTCTCACGGGCCAGCATAACAAGAGAATCCAATAATCAAAGAGGGTCTCGGGCCCAGTGAGCAGTTACCTCAAGACTGTCCTCTCGCTGACCAAGGGAGAAAGCTTGCAGGGCACAGGCAAGAGGAGGTGGGCAGCGAGGAGAAGGCGCCAGCAATAGCGCCAGCAGCAGGCGGTAGAGCTCACGGCGGCAACAGGAGCTGGTATATGGAGAGCTGCCCAGGACCTCACCCTGCTGGACACCCATGACCAGAGGCAGAATCAGATCATGCAGTCTCTGAAAAGGACACAGAGCACACCTAGAAACTTGGCCAAGACTGCCCAGACCGTCTCCAGGGCCTCCTCCCAGGTTTCAATGGACCCACCTTAGGGGCACCCCCCATACACATGCAAAGAGCAACAGCCCCCACCCCCAGGCTCCATGGAGAACATGTTCCACTAACCCTGTGAGTCTCCTCCTTGATGAGAGGCCCACACATGAGGATGGTCCGGCTGAGGCCTGGCAAAAAGAATAGTATGTGACCTGTAGGCAGGCTACCGACAAGATAAAGACTGAGGGCTTCTGAAGCACACAGACCAACAATAGCATCCGGCTGCCACTGAGCACCCTGGGCAAGGCATTTATTTCCTTCCCTTGGTCTGCTTTCTCATGTATAAAATGGGGACCATAAAAGCCCCTCTAGGATATAAGGCTATTGATAATACTTAAATGAGATAATGGAGGTACACCATTATAAATGCGCCCTTAGGTACTTGGACAGTTGACTCCCTGCTTCACATGGTGTGGGGGAGAGTGAAATACATGGGAGCCAAAGGAAAATCACCCATTAACTGCATAGCATCCAATTACTAACTTCTGTTGATAGATTAGTGGCTGCACTGGAGGCAAGGAAGCTCCACCAGGCATCCTGCCTTATAGGGGAATGTCAGTTCCAAAGGCAGGGATTTCCCCCAAGGGCTAGAATTGTATCTAATACATGGGTACAAAGTGTCTGTTAAGTAAATGAAAGGAGAGAAATGAAACTCTGGAAGGGCAAGGTGAACTATCAGAACCCCAGTCTAATAGCAGGACCCAAGACGCCACCTGCAGCCCTCATAGCTGCATGGCTGCTTCTGGTCATTCTGCAGGCTATGGCTCCAAGCCTTCCCAGAGCCACACAGGTCCAGGCATCACCAACCTCTCAGCGCAGCTGCACAGACATCGCTGTTGGCATTGTTCTCTCCTTTCCGGTGGCTGGGTGGGGCCATAGCCTCCCCTACATCTAGCTTTATCTTCTTGGGGGCACTAGGCTTCCCAGTTTGCAAACCCCCATCAGGGCTCCCCCGAGGGCTGCGTAGCTGATGGTAGAGGAAAACACTAATCAGGTTATACAGAGGCCAACAGAAAGGCAGGACAGAGGTAGGAGACAGTGTAGTGAAGAGGCACATTTGGACAAAGGGCACAGGAGATAAGTTCTCACTCACCTTAAGGGCATCAGATGGTGGGGAGATATCACTGAGTAGATGAGTGAGCAGGGCCTCTCCAGAGGCTCCTCCCTGAAGCACCCCTGCTGAGGCCCCACAAACCTGCACCCACAGCTCTAAGATAGCATATACTTTGGTCCGAATAGTGCTATAGTATGAGCAAAGAGGGTAGGTTATAAATGGAAATTGGTTGTGCCAGAGCCCCAGGTCCACCTGCATGCCTTCTCACCCTCTCCCCTTTATCCCCTCCTGGATGATCACCTGTAAGGCCTCTCTTGGCCAGGAGAGAGAGCATCCCTACCAATGCTCCAGGCATTGAGGACCTGGGGGAGCAGGCGACTGATCAGAGCCCCAAAGCGTAAGAGCCGGCCTCCACACCTAAGGGCAGAGATGGAATGGTGATGCTAATTTCCAGCAGGCCCAAGATCCTTCTCCACACCCAGCTAAATCCCACTCACGCAAGAATGAGTGCAGAGAGCAGGTCCAAGGCTTCAAGGTGGATAGACGGCAGTAATAGCAACCTCAGGGGACCATCTCCAAGCAAGCTCTAGAGAAAAAAAAATCAGCAAACGTAAGGAGTGGGAAAAGAAAGCAAGAGCCAGAGAAAGACAGAGCAGAAGAGTGTGACTTTATACATTATGTACAAATAATTAGGAACCTACTCCTTGGCCACAGCTCACACAAAAACAAACTCCAATCCTCTAATAAGACCCTGAAATGGAGGGTAACGAGAGGATGGCTAAGCTTCTCAGTAACGACTCAGTTGATCCCCAAAGTCATCCTCCAATAAGGAGGCACTGGCTATGTGAGAAAATCTACTTTGACACTGGCACTTGTGTCAGGGAAGCACAGTGAGTTATGGTATTTGGACCAAAATAAGGAGCCATCTGGGACAGCTTCAGAGATGAGTCTGTTTGGGGAGCTTCAAGTCACAGTGCTTTCCTAGTTGCCCAAAGTCCTGAACAAAGGCTATGTATAAAGGACAAAGTCCACTCACAATATTCTTGCCACTGACACTGAGAGTCCGGCAGATGAGATCCAGGACTTCCTGCACAGGCACGGAAACAGGAGCCCCAAACTCAGAGCTAAAGAAAATAAGAACAGGGAGACCCTCAGAGCAGGCTCCCCAGCATGGCTCCACACCCACCTCAATCTCCCTTCTTCACATTGAAGTTAACTCTCCCATTCCAAGACCCTGCTCCTTCCAATACCCACACACCTGAGCATAAGCCCCAGACAGCGGGCCAGTCCTGAAAACCTCTGCCGAAGGCGTAGGAGGACATGGGCATCACCATCTTCTGAAGGGGAAAGCAGTGTCTCCACTCCAGGGCCTTCATTCTGAACAGGAGCTGAGCAGCAAACAATCACCTCATATACTATCTTCTTTCCATTCCTTCCTTTTTCATCGGTGGTACATGACCAGCTATGTTCATCCATTTTGCCTAGCAACCAACTGCCCCTCTCTGGACCTCCCTCCTGTTCCCTCCTGTCAAGCTCCCCAGTCCTTATTGACCACCAGCCCCGGTCCCTACCCGTTTCTGCGCCTTCATAGAGGGCCCCCAACAGGCTGTGCAGTGAGGCCAGCAGGCTGTGCAACTCCTGCTCCCAGCTCTCAGTGTGCTTCAGGCCCTGGGAAAAGCCAGCCCCTAAGGAAGGCAGCCTGGAATAACACTCACAGGCCAGCTGCAAGAGGAAGGGCAGAAAGCTGGTCAGATGGAACTAGCTCAGCTACGGAGCCCCCACCCCTCTAAACCCAAGAGCTGGAAATCAAAGGAAGCTCAAGGGACAGTTAGGCTTTCGGGTCCAGATGGGCATAGGAAAGTAGAAGTCGAGAATAGTGATGTTAACCATGGAAAAGTGGAAACAACCCAAAAGCTATAAAAGAAAAGCTAATAATAAACCATAAGAGGCTCAGATCCCTGAGTTCTGTACCTCTCTCCCCATTTCCTTTACCTGCTGGAGCTGAGGGCTCAAGGCATCCACTCGAGACAGGAAAAACGAGGCCAATTTGCCCTGGAAGGGAAAAGAAGGAAGAGGTTGCGAGGCAGCCCCATGATCCAGAGATGCACACCCATCCATTCCCAGTGGCAGACTCTCCACCCAGTCTTTCCTATAGACGCAGAAAGCACACTGCCTACACAGGGCAGTGAAGCCTGGTATCATACATTCTTTCATAGCAGGAAAACACCCTGCATGTCACATCTGCTCCTTAGCCTCCTGTCTGGGGAGAAAAGAACCTGGGTCCTGCACTACAGACAACTGGATTCCGTCCTGCCAGTTTTTACAAAATTACAATCATCTCCCTCAACCAAGGACACAGTCCTAAGAAACAATCTCTACATTCCAACCCTCTACCAACTCAGACACAGAAACCAGAGTCCAAAGCTAGGAATCAAGGCACTCCCTAGAGGTTATGAGGGACAGGCCAGTGGAGCAGAACAAAGGCAGCAAATCTGAGCAGTAACATGACAGTCAGCAAACATCATCTCTGCTTGCTATGAGAAAACTCTGGCACAGGAGTGTTTAATCTGAGGGCCACAATTTATTTGGAAATAAAATCAGAGGCCTTGAACATAGAAGGTGAAAAAATTACATCATTATTTTCACTAACTATAAGTGAAATGTAGTGTTCCCTTCAATTGGAAATGTAGACAAATGGCAGTGTTAGCAGTACCTTTGACTGTCACCAACAGAACATACTTATTTTTATTTCATATTATAATGGTAACATATCTTGAAATATCATCCATATGCATGACAAATTTAAAATTACAGTAGTTAGAAGACCTGCTTCTAGATTTATAATGAATTCTTTTAATTTTATGTTGCCTTAATATCCACTGTGAATACAAACTGAACTTTCTTATACCAGAAGCAGGGCTCAGTCATTCCAACAGTGTCCAATTCTCCACCTTCTCCCAATTGCTCAATGCAAGTGATCCTGGTATGTGTCTTGTTCTCTTGGTAGCCAGCCCCCAGATCCAGCCTACTGGACTCAAGGCCCCGCTGACCTTCACACCATGAATGGGCTGGGAAGATATGCCAGAGTGACTGCTTTGCTGTCACCTCCTAGAACCCATGCTTGATTCCTTTAAACACATCAATTAAAACTTCCAAGGGAAATCTGTCTGAATAATGCCCTAGAGTCAGAAGTGAGAGTGTGTGTATGTGTACGCGTGCGTGTGTTTTGGTCTGTTTCCTCATGTTCCCTAACCTCTTGTGTAAGTAGCCTCCAGGTATGCCATGTATCCTATAAGGTCCCTGGTAGGACCTGTAAGTAATAAAATCTTTGTTCTCTCTAGGTTTCTCCTAATCACTGAAGGAAAACTCTCATCTTAAGACAACTTAGATTAAAATAAGACCTTGCTATTTAATGTATTAATAAACTAGAACATACTACTCTATTTTAAAAACTATTTTAAGAGACTAGCTTTCCTTAAAATTCTATGCATTTTATTTTACGAATTCAAAAATATTACTCCAATAAAAACATTACACTGCTGGGTGCAGTGTACACATGCTAATAATCTCAGAGACCCCGGAGGCTGAAGTAGTAGGATTGTTAAGTTTGAGGCCAGCCTCAGCAACTAAGGCCCTAAGCAACTTAATAAAACCCTGTCTCAAAATAAAAAAGTAAGAAGTTGAGGATATAGCTCAGTGGTAAAGTGCTTCGTTCAATCCCCAGTACCAAACAATCAAACATTACTCTCAGAAGGGTTCATGGAAAAAAAAAAAAAAAAGGAAGAAGAAGAAGAATACAACAACTGAAATATAAACAGGAAGAAGATAACATTTCTACTTTCAGAGAGATGTAAGAGTTAATCAGGTAGACACAATAGCCAACGCTGGACAGAAAGAAGATCAGGAGGGAACAATGCTGAGGCTAGAGAATAGAACTGAGCTTGGTTTAGGAAAAAAGGCTACAATCCAGATCATGAGGCCAGAGAAAGAAAAATGCTAAGGAAAGCTACAAAATCACAAAATGCCAAGAGAGAAGCAGACTGAAATCTTGAATTCTGGATTGGGAAGTACTAACTTTATCCTGGACTCTGTGGCACCCTATGTACAAAGGTGCACTTCCAGAAGACAAATAAGCCGTAGCACCAGGCACAAGGCCCAACACTAGGGAGGATACTAGCAATAGAAGCCTCTGCCAGTGTGTGGTTCAGAAACCAAGTTCCCAAGGGTTCCCTATCTACCTGTGGCAGGAGCCACATATAGTTTCCCATATTACACTTCAAGATTCTCACTAACCATGAGACAAGCACTGTTACAGCTAATCCCAGGTAGGGGAGGATGCAGGACCATTTCCCTTAGGATTCGGAGAGCATTTGTATGTCTTATGTGGTACCCAAGGTCTCCTAACTCACTTGCTTCTCCAAGGAAGACAGGTCTTCAAGAAATTAAGAAATACGAAAGCCTCAACTATTAATGGCACTTGGCCTTTTGGGCCAACTTATTACTCATGCTTTTTTTTTTTTTTTTTTTTTTTTTGAGACTCTGGCTCAAATGGCTGGACTGAGGCCAACAGAAGTCTGCTTGTGTATCTGTAACAAAACAAACAACAGTACAGTGACATGGCGCCAACCACAAGGTCTGCCCTGGCTAACCCATAAAGCAAGCCAAAGTTGTTCCAAGCTCACCTGAACATTTCACTTAAAACATGCATGAAGCCGGGAGCAGTGGCATATACATCTAATCTCAACAGTTCAAGAGGCTGAGGCAGGAGGATTGTGAGGTTAAAGCCAGCCTCAGCAACTTACTGAGACCTTAAGCAACTCAGTGAGACCCTGTCTCTAAAACATACACAACAGGGCTGGGGTTGTGGCTCAATAGTCAAGTGTCCCTGAATTCAATCCCTAATACCACACACACACAAAAAAAAATAAGAAAAAGAAACAATATACATGTCACACACACACACACACACACACACACTCCTAGGTGTATCACAAGGGTAGGGTTTGTCTCCCCCCTCATTCCAAGTAACTACTAATCAACTTGGCAAGGAGGAAGAAGTGAGGTAAAGCCTCGGCAGAGACTGACTTCAGGAACTCAGAATGTTTGAGATTCTTCATTTGGGAAGTATACCCCTGAGATGGAAGATTGCAACTGCCCTGGGAGCATCTGGGAGACAAGACAAAAAATTGATAAATATTTCAAAATGGCAACTATCAGTTTCCTAAGTATTGGTCTGCAAGATTTCACAAATATAGACTGCCCCTAATGCCTGTGCACAAAACAGATTCTTATCTGAATAGATAAAGCAATAGACGAAGCCAAAATCCTCAACAGAGGGAAAGATGTTTTCCAGATGACATTATTTTTAGAGAAATAAAGGCAGGCCAGGTACAGTGGCACACACCTGTAATCCCAGTAACTCAGGAGGCTATAGCAGGAGGATCACATATTCAAAGCCAGCTTCAGCAAAAGTGAGTCACTAAGCAACTCAGTGAGACTCTGTCTCTAAAATACAAAATAGGGCTGGGGATGTGGCTCAGTGGTCGAGAGTCCCTGAATTCAATCCACAGTAGCAAATAAATAAATAAATACACAAAGGTAGGCATACCCTGCAACCACATATGAATGCTTTGTTGTTTGTTTGGAAAGAGTACACAAAACACAGGCCATAACTCTAAAAACTATACTGTCTAAAAAAGGCTTTGAATTACACATCAACCTCCCAACTACTCACATTGAAAACTTAAGAGACAACCATAGAGGAACCACTTAGCATTCTAATCTCTGTGACTATTCAAATTTCCACTCTTCAGGTAACACTCAATTTCCATTCTGCTTTTACATGGGGATGCAATTAAATGTAAATACCAAAGAAAGCTGAATCAAAACAGATATTTGTAGTATAATCTCACAAATTTTGGTTAGGGACAAAATGCTAACCTGTATAATCTGAGAACGAACAAAACATCTTGCAAGACAGGCAGTTAGTAAAATGTCAGTAAATAAATCTTTAGTAATTGTTGGTAAAATCCATGAGTTACTCCAAATACTTTGTTTCTTTACCAAAATCCTGTCCTGTCCACTCAAAGTTTCTATTAGCTGTGGTTAAGAGCATTCATATGAAAACAAAGAATCAACAAGGACATGACCCATCCTCATGCTCACTAAGAAATAGCACATATTCTAGGACTTTTCAGATACTGCAAATAACCAGTTACAGAGGTCTCCCTCTTAACCATGGGGAGCACATTTCAAGAACCCAAACAGATGCCTGAAACCAGATAGCTGAAAACCTATATACTATGTTTTTGTTTTACTATACATACATACCCATTGTAAAGTGTGAGTTTTAAATTGGGCACAGTAAGAGAATAACAACTAATAATAAAACAGAACAATTTTAACAACATATTGTAATACAAGTTATGTGAATGTGAATTCTCACATATGCTCGTGCTCTTGATACTTTAATAGCCACCTCAGTTATCAGACTATTTCAGCATCATAATGCTTGTGTTCAAATAACCCTTATTTTACTTTATCATGGCCCCATAGAGTGAGAGGAGTGTTACTGGCAATTCAGACATGCCAAAGAGAAGCCATAAAGTTCCTCCTTTAAGTAAAAAGGTACTCCACTTACATACACAAAAAAAAGTACACTGAGGTTGCTAAGACCTAGAGTATGAACAAATCTTCTATCTGTGAAATTGGAAAAAGAGAGAAAGTCATGCTAGTTTGTTCCCAGCATGAGGCCAATTATCATTAAATCTATCAGTTTATATATAATAAGAGAAAACATTTGAACTACAAGGCAACACCTACTGGTTTTTAGGTATAGCTCACACCCAATTACACAGATATGCCAATTACAAATGACCCTTAACTGTTGCTATTTTAATAGAATTTGTAAACTGTTACTGCTTTAACAGAATTTGTAAACTATTCATATCTGTAGCAGTTCCTTGAAAATCAAAACTGAACCCCAGCCCGACGCACGGGGGAGGCAGAGGAGATGGCCCTGGCAACCAATGCATGGAGGAGGACACTGACCACATACACGTGGAGGAGGAGACTGACAGCACTGCAGCCCCCCATCTACCAATGCATGGCCCTCCCAGTTCGCTTCCATCTAGAGACAACAGCCAGGACAAGGAAGACTATAACCAAGGTTCCTGCAGGCCTAGTTAAACCAGAGGCGAGGTATTGGTAACCTGCAGGGACACTACAAGATTACAGAATAAAAATTATAATACCTCAGATCTGTACTGCCAGAGAGGAAGACACATGAACAACATGAAAAAACAAGGGAAGAAACTGCCCCCAAACAAACCAAGATGCTACAATAATAGAATCCATTGACAACACAGTAAATGAAATGTAAAGAGAAGGAATTCAGAATGTACATAATTAAAATGATCTGCAAAGCACAGAATAAGATGAGAGCGATTATAGGCAACAATTGATCATTCCAAAAAAGCGATAAGAGGGCAAATATAGGTAGCAAAAGATTACTTCAAGAAAGAGACAGACTCTTAAAAAAAAAAAAAAAAAAAAAAATAAAAAAAAAAGACAAAATCTTAAAAAAAAAAAAAAAGAAAGAAAGAAAAGAAATCCTTAAAATGAAGGAAACAATAAACCAAATACAAACTTTAATAGAAAACATCATTAACAGACTAGACCACTTGGAAGACAGAACCTCAGGCAATGAAGACAAAATATATAACCTTGAAAATAAAGCTGACCACACAATGAAGATGGTAAGAAACCATGAACAGAATATTCAAGAATTATGGGATAACATGAAAAGAACAAATATAAGAATTATCGGGATAGAGGAAGGCACACATATACAAACCAAAGGAATGCACAATCTTTTCAATGAAATAATATCAGAAAAATTCCCAAATATGAAGAATGAATTGGATAATCAAATATAAGAGGCTTACAGGACACTAAATGTACAAAACTATAACAGATCTACACCATGGCACATTATAATGTAAATGCCAAGCGTACAGAATAAGGATAGAATTTTAAAAGCCACAAGAGAAAAGTTTCAGATTACATACAGGGGGAAACCAATTCAGATCTCAGCAGATTTCTCAACCCAGACCATCAAAGCTAGGAGATCCTGGAACAACATACACCAAGCTCTGAAAACAAAATTAAGGAGCTGGAGATGTGGCTCAAGCGGTAGTGCGCTCGCCTGGCATGCGTGCGGCCCGGGTTCGATCCTCAGCACCACATACAAACAAAGATGTTGTGTCCACCAATAACTAAAAAAATAAATATTAAAAATTCTCTCTCTCTCTCTCAAAAAAAAAATTAACTCTTCCCCTGGCCTCTTCCCTCATCTGTGCCATGTATAGTCATTTTGTATGGATCATGATAAGTGGTGTGGAGTGGGGTGACAAAGGGAATTTAGGCAGGAATACAAAAAGAAACTTTGGAAGAGTTGTCCTAGGAAAGCAATACATCAAGAAGGCCTCCTACAGGAACAAAGATAGGATGTAGAAAAATGGGCAAGGCATTCTATAGATTCAGAGAAAGCAAGGCAGAAAGAGAAACAAGGCAAGACACAATGGCACATGTATCTAATTCCAGCTGCTTGGGAGATGAGGCAGGAGGATTGCATGTTCAAGGGCCTGGGCAATTTAGGGAGACCCTGTCTCAAAATAGAAAATAAAAAGGGCTGAGGATGCACCTCAGTAGTAGAGTGACCATGGGTTCAATTCCTGGTTTGGGAAGGAAGGAAGAAGGAAGGAAGGAAGGAAGGAAGGAAGGAAGGCAGGCAGGCGGGCGAGGGGGAAGGAGGGAAGAAGAAAGGGAAGGAGGAGGAAAGAAAGGAAGGAGGAAAGGGAGTAAATGGGTGGTGGGTGGTGGGTGGTTGGTGGTTAGTTGTGGGAAGGAGTCCATGGGTACAGCCTAGGTCTTAACATCAAACAAATAAATAAAGGTACTAATCCCTGCTGATCTTAGGCCAGTTGCTTAATTCTAATTTCTTGATCTGTGAAGATTAAACAAGTGCTCCAAGGTAATATCATTATAGTTGTTGAGACAGGTGCTTAGAAATCTCAGAAATGGGATCTGAGGTTAAGAGTGCTATCAAGGCTTATATTGGTGGGGAGAAGAGTTTCCATGAATACTTACTTTGAGAGAACCACAAGCCCGAGGGAAATAGGTCATACAAGCCTTCATTCCTTCTAATGCTGACTGCTCACACTGTAGGAAAAACAGAAAGTCAGGAAGAAGGAAGAAATCAAGAGCCCAATGGCCCCATGCACATCCCCCAACCCACTGCACTCTACTACCCTAGAAGGTCCTTTCTCCACACACTCACTTTTTTCTTGCTCCTCCCTCATCCCACTTCTTCATCCTATTCCTTAATTACTTCTCACCACATTCTTTAATCCAAACAGTGTAAATAAGGGCAAAGACTCCTAGGTGTAAAGCAGTGGGGAAGTGTCTCACCTCTGGTCTAAGGCCCAGCAGGGAAGTGAGAAGTCCAGGAAGGTGGTTGATGGAGATGTCCCGAAACAGTGTAGGAAGTTGGGCTGTATACCGGAGTAGGTCCCTCAGGACAGCCACAGCCAACTCCATGGTGGGTGGAGGGTCCTGGGACTAAAAGCAACAACAACCATGCTGCCAACCTCACCTCCACTGTCACCAAGAGGAGGAACAGGAGGTATAACAACACAGGGCTTTTGAGAAACATCACAGTCGGTGTCAATAGTATCATCAAATCTACTACTGTAGGGAAAAAGGGCCACAGAGAATATACAGATCCAAAAAGAACATATTTGTCTTCAGAAAGAACTTGTGCTTAATATTTTAATATTAAAAGTATCTGGAATCCCAGGAATATCTGTTAGGAAGGGAAAAAGGTAAGGAAGCCACTCCTCAAGATCCAATTCACCTGAAGATTTCAAGAGTTGTTTGAGCTGGGCTGGTGGCACACACCTGTAATCTCAGCAACTTGCAGGGCTGAGGCAGGAGGATCACAAATTTAAGGCCAGCCTTAGCAACTTAGCAAGACCCTGTCTCAAAATTAAAAAAGGGTTGAGGATGTGGCTCAGTAGTAAAGTTCCTTTGGGTTCAGTCCTCAATAATAAAGAGTTGTTTGAATCTCTCATACTACTCTTCAAAAAAAAAAAAAAAGACAATCATTGGATTTAGAAAGAAAATTAACACTATTTAAGGACAAAGCATTTAATACAGATTTCCTTCTACACCAGGGGAGACCATGAGCCAACAAAATAAATAAGAATACTTCTTAAGAAAGTAAGACGAGGTGGGCCTGCCTACCAACCACAGGCTCTCAACGCTGTCCAGCAATCCTACTGCATTGGCTAATTTCCTCGGCTACTCAAACCTTTTCCTTGAACTTCCAAACCCAACTTCTCCCACCACTACCACCTTGAGGTGGCCTTGCCTACATCTTAGAAAACTAAAGCCCAAAGATGGGAACCACCTTAGTTTCCTGTTCCCAAATCTGAAACCCTTATCATCCTTCTCCTCTGCTAAAGCCTGCCTGCCTCCTCCTGTCCACTATGTTTTAAAATACTATCCCATCCCTTCTTTTCAAAACTTTACACATCAACCAGCTCTCTCTTCTGTCCCTCGAATGGATTCTACCCACTGACATTTACATGTGCTCAAGCACTCCCAACTTCAAAACTCCTCAAGCTGGGTGCAGTGGCACACACCTCTTAATTCCAGACTCAGGAGGTTAAGACAGAAGGATCACAAGTTCAAGTCCAGCTTCAGAAATTTAGCAAGGCCCTCAGCAACTCAATGAGATCCTGACCCAAAGATGAAAACAGAAAGGACTGGGGATATAGCTCAGCAGTAGAGTGGTTCAGGGTTCAATTCACAGTACAAAAATGAATCAAAACTACACATACACACACATATTATTCTTCCTTGATCCCATCTAGTGTTCCACTTGTCAAATCCCATTAACTGCCCAATTTCTCTCCCTTATCATTAGAGCTAAAATCTTGAAAGGCTCACCTATTTTCCCTACTTCTACTTCCATTCTCCTTCTCCCACTTATCTTCATCCCAAGCTAACCTGGTTTCAGTGTCTATAGCTCCATCAAAAACACTTTCACTACAGTCTTAACAACTTTTGGATTTACTAATATGATAAGCAATTTTAGATCTGTGTCTTGTTCCATCTCACAGGAGTATTAACAGAAATGACTCTTGCCCCTTCCCTCAAGAGTCCTTCCCTTGGAATCCATCCAACCCACAATCCTGCTTGCTACTCTCTCTTCTGTTGGATTTCATCCAACCTACCACCCTAGTTACCTCCTTTCTATTATTATCTTGGTCTCCTTTGTTAAGTTGATTCTCCTCTATCTGACCATTACCTGTGGTACACCTTGAAACTCAGTTGGTACAAAACTCATCTTGATATCTCATTCTCAATGTTAACTGCTATCTAAATATTGAATGCTCCTTCCCTTATGAAACATACCAACTAGCTGGGTGTGGTGGCGCACACCTATAATCCCAGTGGCTTGGGAGGTTGAGGCAGAAGAATGGAAAGTTCAAAGCCAGCTTCAGCGACTTAGCGAGGCCCTAAGCAACTCAGCAAGACCCTGTCTCAAAATAAAATATAAAAAAGGGCTGGGGATGTGACTCAGGGGTTAAGCACCTCTGGGTTCAATCCCTGGTACCAAAAAAAAAAAAAAAAATACCAACTAAAGCCCCAACCCTCTGAACCCTTCAAGGCTATATGGAGACACTTCCAGTCATGACAGATGAGATGCTTATGAAGAAGGATTCTATATAACACCCAAGGACAGACACATCTATGGTGTTTTCTCCCATTCCTTCTGAACCTGGCTGTCTTCCAATGTTCTCAAGTCCGTGAGTCATTCTGGGCATGTCTTCTCCCTAATGCTAATCAATCATCAGGACTCCCTGTTTTGCCTCTGTATCTCTATATATATCTATTTCTCGTTAATTCTACTGCCACCACCCTCATTCAAGCTACTGCAAATGTTCTAGATTACTTCAGTAGTCTTCCACATGGTATTCCTGTTTTAATTTTCTCCTTTCTAATCCTTTCTCCACACAGCAGCCAGGGTGCTATTTTTAAATAAAAACTTGACCATCACTGTTACCACTATTTCCTCACTCCCACTGCTATGGTTTTAATGTTCTCCAAAATTCATGTGCTGGAAACTTTTCAACACAATAACTTAGGAAGGTAAGACCTTTAGGTGGTGATTAAGTTATGAGGGTAAAATGGGTTAATGTCATTATCACAGGATTGGGTTTATTATAAAAGCAAGTTCTGGGCATGCACACTCATGCCCACAACCCCACACACCTAACACCCAACCTCCCATGTGATGCCACCCACCATGTTATGTTGCCCTCACTAAATGCTGCCTCTCAATCCTGCACTTCCCAGCTTCCAGAAGTGTGACCCAGATAAATCTCTATCTACAGTATTTTGTTATTTTGTCTGTTAGTATTTGGTATACTAAGATATCAACTTTAAAACTTTGGATGAATTCCACTGCTCTCAGAATAAAACTAAAAATCCTTAATGTGACTATCAAGGCCATACATATTTTGGTCACAATCTATCTTCCCATTTGTGTCTCATCAACTCCAGCCACACCAGCATGCTTTCAATTCTTCAAACGGCAACTTCTCTTCTGTCAGGGTTTATGCACTCTTACAACATTTTTTTCAGCCCAATTAACTACTACTGATCAGTTCAGGAAAGCCATTCCTAAACCTCTGACCCCAATCCCTACCTCTGCAGTTGGGATCAGATTCTACCTCCATAGCACCTACCTCAGTTTATCACATCACATTCAACTGTATCATTATTCAGTTAAAGTGTTTTCCATTAGAACAGAAAATAGCAAACTAGGGTCTGTGGGTGCCTGTTTCTTCATGGCCCACAAGCTAAAAATGGTTTTCACATTTTTAAAGTGATGGAAAACAAACAACAGACGACAGAAACATGTGGTTCACCAGCCTAAAACATTTACTATCTGCAAACACTTATTTCATTGAGAAAATTTCCCAACCTCTGTACTAGACTCTAGGCACCATGAAAGAAGAGTCCAAGTACACCTTACCACTGTCTGCCCAGAGCTTAGCACACAGTTTGCTGTAAAACTAAGTACAGACATCATCAAAGCATGGAAAAGGAGAGAAGAGAAATTAAAACATTAAAAGAGGAACAAAGGAAGCCAGGAGCAGTGGTGCACACCTGTAATCCCAGCATCTTGGGAGGCTAAGGCAGGAGGATCATGGATTCAAAGCCAGCAAGGCACTAAGAAACTCAGTGAAACCCTGTCTCTAAATAAAATATAAAAAAGGGCTGGGGATGTGGCTCAGTGGTTAAACCCTTCTGGATTCAATCTCCAGTACTAAAAAAAAAAAGGGGGGGGGGGGAACGACAAAGGAGTAGACCAAAACAAACCCAGAAAAAGGAATATTAGCGATTTAGCGATGACATTCATTACAAAAGCTAACTAAGGAGTGAAGCTGTCAAAGGTTACAGTGTGGGATAGATCAGATGAATTAAAATAAGCCAGCAGATAAAAATATCAAAAAAAAAAAAGTTTGAAAGGATGTTTCTATTTCAAGTTTAATCTCCCTATTTTCAGGAAATTGCTTCTCTAATCATTCTGAACTAAATGTCAGAACTAAATGTCCCAGGCACACACACACACACACACAAAAAAAATACCAGACCCAGGAGAAGGATCAGGTGGGAAAAGGAGAGGGCAGTAGGCAGCTGAATCCTTACCTGCAACACCTGCTGAATGCTACGAAGCCAGGACACACAGTGCTGCTGGAACATCTCTGTAGGGCTCTCCCCCACCAGCAGGGACAGCAGACACAGGCCCTCGAACCTTACAAGCAAGAAGGGTGTGACACAGTGGGTGGGGGCTATTGACTGCACTTTTATTCTCATGGGCTCTAATAAAAGACTTCAACCCCAGATCCATTGTGCTTTCCACCTCCTGAAATGCTTGGAGGACCTAAGGTAAGGTGGCGCCAGCAAGGAAAGAAAGGAGGCCCAGGTAAAGAATAGAAACTTGGAAACTGGAAAGGGTAGATTCAACTCAAGGAGAGCTCACAATCAGAAAGAAACTTCCCACCCTTCTGGAAATGGAGAAATCTTTTGAATCCACAGGGTGGTGATAATAGATGGACAGGTGTATATACAGTTCACTCCCTAAGGGAACATACCCCTGGAGAGGAGGAGGGGGACGCCAGGTGTGGTGGTCCACACACCTATAATCCCCGCAACTTGGGAGGCTGAGGCAGGAGGATCTCAAAGTCAAGGTCAGCCTTAGCAATTTAGTAAAGCCCTGAGCAATTTAGCAAGACCCTGTCTCAAAACAAAAAATCAAAAAGGCCAAAGAGCCAGGCATGGTGGCACATGGCCTATAATCTCAACAGCTCGGGAGGCTGAGGCAGGAAGATTAATTCAAAGCTAGCCTCTGCAATTTAGTGATACCCTAAGCTGTCTCAAAATAAAAAAGGGCTGAGGATATGGCTCAGTGGTTTAGCACCCCTGGCTTAAATTCTTAATATCAAGGGGGAGAAAAAAGTGTTAAAAGACTTACCGAGTTTTGATGGAACCTAGACGCGCATTACTGAGACTCACCAATGCTCCAAGGGCTGAAAGATTCTAGAAAAAAGAAGTTAGGTAATAGGACATTAAACACAAGCAGAATTCTCCAAGCTTTCCCTGTCCCAGCACGTCCAAAATCCTTTCTGAAGTTACAGTTCCTTTGAAGCCAAAAGATCATCCCTCTAGAGGCCTTTCACCTGTGTCCTCTTCTCCTGTGGGTAACACTCATATCAGCCTCTGAGCTCTTCCTCAACTTCTAATTTGCCTGATCCCTTCCACCATACCACACCCAACAAATCAGAGCTATCCAAGAAGAGCCAAACTCATCCCTCCATTAGTCTTCAACAATGGGTCAGGTTCACCTCGGATCCCTGGAAAGCACTCAGCATAGAGATATCCAGAAACCATAGCTGAAGGGACACTGAACTCATTCCCCATCCTTCTGCCTTCATACCCAAGCAAATCCTCTCCCGTTCCTGATTTCCATACAGCTGTAAAGAGGACATCACAGATTACTCAGCCAGAGTCTTCCCTCCAAGGCTCCCCATCCTCTCATACTGTGGAAGCCCATGAAAGAGGTTTCCTCATTGGCCCTCCCACAGACAACTTCTCTACTGGCAGAAGGACCAGACCCCCCCCCCCCCCTCATGGCACCTGTATCTTCCTAATGGTATACAACACTCATTGTTTCTGTTTTTCTTCATACTGGGTATTAAACCCAGAGGTACATTACCACTGAGCTGCATCCCCAGCCCTTTTAATTTTTTTTTTGAGACAAGGTCTCCCTAAATTGCTGAAGCTGGCTTTGAATTTACAATCCTCCTGCCTCAGCCTTTCGAGTTGCTGGGAATTACAGGAATGTGCCACCATGCCCAGCATCACTCATTCTCTGAACACACATCATGCATCTTTCTGAATACACATCATGTACTGGGTCAGGTGAAGGAACATATAGCTCAATAAATGTTTATTCAAATGTGACATTGTCTTAGATGCTGGATAGTTTACTTTCTAGTTAGAGACAGAAAATAAAGAACTGATGAAATAAAAACAGGTTGAGCATTCCTAACTCAAATATCTAAAATCCAAAACATTTTGAGTGCTGGCATGACACAAGTGGAAAATTCCACACCTGACCTTATGTGATGGGGCCAGTTAAAACAGGTATACAGTAGCTTATGCAGTGCCCCCAAGGGAAAAAAAAGAGGACCCTCTCAGCCCCCTTCAGCTGTAATTCTCTTTCCCACAGCTCAAATTTCCCCCACATAAGCCTACCCAAAAAAGGTTGTAAAATGGAGGCATGAAGGCCAGACCAGCCAATGACAGGTTCCTCACAATGCTCCACATGGATTACATGCAATACTCAGTGTTTTATTTTGCTGCTTATTCTCTGCTCTCTAATGTAAAGATATTGTTGAAAATTTTAAAAAAGCAGATACCTCTATAGGTAACCGTAATAAGAAAAAAGCATGTGTATTTACTTACAGCACACATAGGTGTTCATGATAACAGTGATGATGAAGATGATGTTAATATTGGGGAAAATGTACCTACAGATGACATGGTGAAAATGTGTGAAGGATTTACTTAAGGACTAAAGCAATATGCATTCATAACTGAATAAGAATTCATGTCCATTTGTAAAATCAAAGAGAGACTTCTAAAACAAAAAATGTTAATGGGGCAGATGACTAGAGGAAACATTTCAAAAAGTCATCCAAAAAAATGCATTCTCATTCCTTCAGGACCCACTTCCTAGTCTTGCAGCTGTTTCACATGTTTGTGTTCAGTTAAAAAAAAAAACCACTAAAACAGTACACAGTAACCTTTCAATGAAAACACATGTAGGTGCCATTATTTGCAGATACTGGTATTCAATAACTGATGCAGGGCTTTTCTTGCTTTCTTTTTTCCTGTGGGTACTAGGGACTGAACTCCAGGGCACTCAACCACTGAGCCACATTCCCAACCCTTTATTGTATTTTATTTAGAGACAGGGTTTCATTGAGTTGCTCAGTGCCTCGCTGTTGCTGAGGCTGGCTTTGAACTTGTGATACTCCTGCCTCAGCTTCCTGAGCTGCTGGGATTACAGGCATGTGACGCCACACCTGACTCAATGCAGGGATTTTGATGATATTTTTGTGCTGCTTCCTTATCACTTACTGTATTAATGGTGTGTCATATCATATTTTTCACTGCAAAGTACTTAAGTATTAATAAGTATAAGAAATGATTGCTTAGCATATAAATTCATTGCCACAAATGATGGTGATACCAAACAACCACAGATTGTCCACATGGGTGACTAAGAGCGTCAGCTTCACTTCTTTACAGTTCAATGTACCCAAACTTTGTTTTATGCACAAAATTAACTAAAATATTACATAAGCTGGCTGCAGTGGCACACACTTGTAATGCCAGCACAAAGTGGGAGGCTGAGGCAGGAAGAACCAGGTTTAAGACCAGCCTCAGCAATTTAGCAAGACCCTGTCTCAAAATAAAAAGAACTGGGGATGTAGCTTAGTGGTAAAGCACCCCAGGTTCAATCTCCAGTACCAAAAATAATAACAATAAAATGTTCCAGTACATATATGTCAGATGGTGCTAAATGTTTAAAGAAAGAATAAAGCAGAGTAAAGAAGGAAAGCAGTGCTCTGAGTAGGAAGGGAGATAGTACTTAAGTAGTAAAATGGGCACAAAAGTCCTCTCTTGAAAGTCTGTGTAGGCAGAGATCTAAAGACAAATGAGAACAAGACACACCCTCATATGCTACTGATAAAAATGCAAGATGGTCATTTTGGAAAAAACAATCTGGCAGTTCCTCAAAACAATATGCATAAGCCAGGTGCTGGGTAATCCTAGATATTTGGGAGGCTGAGATAGGAGGATCGCGAAGCCAAGGTTAGCCTCAACAACTTAATGAGATCTTGTCTCAAAAGAAAAAATAAAAAGGCTGGAAATGTGGCTCAGTGGTACAGTGATAGAGTATCCCTGGGTTCAATCCCCAGAACAACAACAACAACAAAAATGGGGTTATATGCAGAGTGAATACATGACCCAGAAATTCCACTCCTAGGTTGTTTTATGCACAAAATTAACTAAAATATTACATAAAATGAAAACACGTGCTCACAATAACTTGTATATAGTTCAAAACAGTATTATTCTAACAATGAAAAAGTAGAAATAATTCAAATATCCATCAATTTCACAAGGCCCTGTCTAAAAAGTAAAAAGGGCTGGGATGTAGCTCAGTAGGAGAGTGTCCCTGGGTTCAATCCCCAGTACCAGTGACCACACACACACACACAAAAAAAAATTATAGAAGTAGACTAATGGTCACCTATGGCTGGAAGCAGTCAGAGAGGGGTTGATGGGAAATAGGGACTATCAGTGGGTACAACGTTCCTATATAGAGTGATGAAAACGTTCAAAACACAGTGATGGTTGCACAACTCTGCAAATACAAAAAAAAAAAAAAACATTGTATTGGGGCTGGGGATATAGCTCAGTTGGAAGAGGGCCTGCCTGGCATGCACAAGGCCCTGAGTTCAATTCCCAGCGCGCGCGCACACACACACACACACACACACAAAAAAAAAAACTATTGTACCCTTTAAATGAGTAAACTATACAGTATATAAATCACATTTCAATAAAAACTTTTTTTTAAAGGAGAGAATTAAGCAGAAAAGTGACATTATCTGACTTATGGTTAAAATAAGTAAATAAACAAAGACAGACATACCAGATTATACTGGTGAATACTATAACCTATTAGCTACTCCAGAAGTTAAAGCAGGAAGATCACAAATACAAGGCCAACCTGCAAAACGTGGTGAGACACTGTCTCAAAATAAAAAAATAAATAAAAATGGCCGGGATGTAGCTTAGTGGTAGAGCTCTTGCGTAGCATGTATGAGGCCCTGGTTTGATCCCAGTATTATCTCTTTGTAACCTGGTAAGAGTGTGGATAAAAAGCTGTTAAAATCCAATTAAATTCTGAAGGTAAAGCTAATGGAATTTGATATGAATATGCATACTGGATATGGATGGGAGATACTGAGAGAAGTCAAAGATAACCTCAAAGTTTATCACTTGATAATTAGACAGAGGTGCCATTTACTAAGGGGAATGATTCAGGAGAAGTAGGTCTTGGAGGTAAGAATCAGGAATTCAGTTTCAGGTATGTTAAATCTGTGGTATTTATTTAGCATCAAAATGGAAACGCCAAACAGGCACTGGGTAGACAAGTCTGGAGTTACAAGAATTCCTGGTTAAGATGTGAATTTGGGAGTTTTTGGTCATGACATTGGATCAGTTTACCAATGAAATAAATATAGCAGAAATAAATAAACGGAATAAATAAAGCAAAGAAGCAATGTGAAGATTGGGTTCCTGGGAACTTTAACCTTTATAGAGGTCAAAGAAATAAGGAAGAACTAGTCTTTACTGGAAAAGACTGGAAAGGAGTAAACAGTGTGGTAGGAGGAGAATTGAGAGAGTGCTATCCCAGAAGCCAAATAAAGAAAGTCTTTTAAGAAGGAAGGATTCAGACACACGGTGGCACACACCTATAATCCCAGCAGCTGGGGAGGATGAGAGAGGTAAGAGGATCCCAAGTTCAAAGCCAGCATCAGCAATTTAGCGAGACCCTGTCTCAAAATAAAAAATAAAAAAGGGCTAGGGATGTGGCTCAGTGGCTAAGTATACCCAGGTTCAATCCCTGGTACTCCCCCCAAAACAAAGGAAGGAACAATCAACTATACTGAATGATATAGATGGGTCAAGTAACATAAGGACTCAAATTTGACCCATGAACTTACTCTCTTAATGGTCACTAGGATTACCTTCAAGAGTTACCAGATCACCCCAAAAAAGTGTTTTGGCAAAGTGGCTGAACAGATTAGCCCAATGAAATAATCATCATAGTAATAATCTATTCTGGGAAGGAACTTTAATGGATGCCAAAACAGATGAAAGGTTAAGACACAGGACATTTAAATCATCTCCCAAGATATCTATTAATTACAAATAGAAAAATCATAAGTTTATAGTTGAGAAACCTAGAAAATACATCTTAACCCAGAGATGAAAATTAATATATCAACATGGAAAAAAATAGACAATATATGCCTCCTGATGTGGATGCTCCAAGAATGACACACCATAACTTATGCAGAACTCCTGCTGAAAATGCACAATCTCAATCTAAGGAAAACCCAGAAAAACCAAATGGAAGGGCATCTTACAAAACAACTATCCTGTACTGTTTTGTTTTTCTTTTTAGTACTAGAGACTAAACCCAAGGGCACTTTACCACATTGAAATACATCTCTAATCCTTTTGATTTTGAGATAGGGTCTCACCAAGTTGTCCAGTTTGGCCTCAAACTTGCAATCCTCCTACCTCAGACTCCTGAATTCCTGGAATTAAGGACAGAAGCCACCACCATCAAGTTGATTTTGACCTTTTTAAAGAGTATTGGGCCAGGTGTGGTGGTGCACACCTGTAATCCCAGCTACTTAGGAGGCTGAGGCAAGATGATTGCAAATTTGAAGCCAAACTGGGCAACTTAGTAAGACTATAAATTTTTAAAAAATTTAATGAAAGGGCTGAAGTAAAGATTCAGTGGTAAAAGAACCCTGGGTTCAATTACAGTACTGCAAATAAATAAATTAAATGAATTAAATGTTGACTTGTGGGTAAAGGATATGTAGGATTTCTTTTAATCTTTCAACTTTTCTGTGAACTTTAATGTTTAAAAAAGAAATAGAATGGAAGCAATCAAGTATAGAGAATTATTTTGAGGAGTTTTGCCATAAAATAAAATATAAAAATGGGACAGGAACTGGAGGGTAATTTTTTTTAAAGCAGCTTTGAGTTATATACTGATGAAAACAATCCACCAGCGAATAGGGGAAGTTGATGATGGTGGAGTAGAGACCTGCTGAAACAAGGTTCTGTGTAAGTGGTAAGGGAAAGTGTCTAGTACACATGCAGAAGAACCAGCCTTATGTAAGAGTATGGACAGCTCATCACTAGTAACAGGGGGGAAGGCAAAGCATTTGTCACAGGTAAGCTGGTAAATATGGTGGTGGAAGTCTATGGAAATTCCCATCCATCCATTTCTCCTTTCTCCATGATGTCACCAAGTAAGAGTGAAAATGTAGAAAATTAGTAGGGAAAAAACAAAAAATATTAGGAGAGGTTTGAAGAAGGTACAAAACAGTTGTCTAGGAAAGTGGGACTGTAACAGGTTTGCTGGGCAACACTAAAAGTCCACTTCTGAGGACAATGGCCATGAATTTAAAGTGGAATCATAAAGCAAGGACTCACGGTTTTCTCTAGTTATACTGAGCTGTGAAGATGCAGGAACAAAATAAGTTAGAATTGGATTTAACACTTACCAAGTAAATGCAAGTCAAGAAGAGCAAAGGAATTGATCACAATGGATCACCGAATTTAAACTGGGAATGAAGGGAAGAGAAAACTTAGAAAATGATAAGTAGATAAATTTTCTTCTTTCAAATAGTGGTAAATGCTAGGAAAGAAATAGGATAAAATGAAAGAGAATAACTGAAATAAAAGGGGCTACTTTACAACAGTGGTCAGGAAAGATTCCTCTGAAATGGTGACATTTGAGATCTAAGTTTAAAAAAGCTCACTTTGCCAGGAATTTCCCAGCAAAGAGTTAAAAAAAAAATTAATAAGCAATGGCCTCTGTGTATCCTAGAAATTAGGTAAGCCTCGGTGGCTGGAACACAATTAAGACAAGCAGAGTGTCCTATGAGATGAGTTCAAGAGGTAAACATGCCATGTACAGCCTCATGCAATGGTAAGTTACTGTAGAGTTTCAAGCAGAAGAATGCTCTAATCTTACTGATATTTAGCTACTGGCTAGAACAGAACACTACTAAGCCCTAGGGATACAAGGCAGAAAAGAAAAACCACTGTCCTTCAAAGAGCATATAGTTACAGGAGAAATATCTGGGATTTGCTTGGGAGGGGGCAGAGCTGAGAAGGAATGAAACAAAACTGCTAAAATGTTCATTGTTAAATTTGGGTGATAGAGACAGCTCAGGGTGGAATGATTAGAAACAGTATCTGTGTATGTCTGAATATTTCCATAAGATTTTTCTTTCAGTTATAAACAAAAATAAAACAAATCTAAGCCTAGCTGTGCTCCTGCAGAGAAGAGAGGTTGAATATACTATATAAATGAAAGAAACAATGTAATAAACATTTCTTAATCATAGGTGGTTAGGAACAAGCAAAGAACTGAAAAGATTTGAGGCAAGAGCCAAGGCAGCTCACGGAGGGATTTCAAGAGAAGAATAAAGGCCCTGAAATTAAATTTAAAAAAAAAGAAAGAAAGCCCAGGTACTGAAGGATTTTTAAAGGCAGCAAACAGAAACAGAAGTTACTTTAGAAAGCTCACTCATTGCTGGGCATGGTGATCCATACTATAATTCCACCTACTCAGGATGGCAGGTTTGAGGCCAGTCTGGCAACTTACTGAGACCAGCCTCAAAATAAAATTTAAGCCGGGTACAGAGGCACACGCCTGTAATCCCAGCAGCTCAAGAGGCTGAGGCAGGAGGATGGAGAGTTCAAAGCCAGCCTCAGCAAAGTGAGGTGCTAAGCAACTCAGTGAGATCCTGTCTCTAAATAAAATACAAAACAAGGCTGAGGATGTGGCCCAGTGGTTAAGTGTCCCTAAGTTCAATCCCCGGTACCCAAAAAGAAATGGCTTGGGATATAACTCAGTGCTTGCCTACTAATGTGTTAGGTCCTGGATTCAATTCCCAGTACACCAAAAAAGAAAAAACAAGCAAGAAAGTTCACTCCAACTACTGTTCAGGTAGTAAGAAGACAAGGAGAAAATTTTGCTATAATCTGAACTAGAAATTGTGCACTGTCCTGGAGTAGTACCATTTTGAAACTGTTAAATTTGTGGTACCATGGGAAAGTCAAGTCGGTGATTAAGCTTAAATGGGTTGATCAAACAATGTATCTCTCTTCTCAAGTTCCAGGCCCTTTTACTTACCTTCATTTCTGTTCTTAACTAAACTAGAAATTCTTAGGGAAAAGACCCATGTCTAATTTATCTACCTAGAGATAGGAACAATATTATTGTTACATATAACCCATACCCAATAAATATTTGCTGAATGAAAATCTATGGGGAAGCAGCAGGATTTGATAGAGTGCTCATGGTAAGGTGTGTGAGGAAGAAAGTATTCAATATGACACTTGACTCTCTACTCACACTTTCCCTCCACCTCTGAGTCTCTGGACAATAACCTTTTCAGTTCTTTCCTACCCCAGGGCCTTCCCACATGAGTTTTCCTCTAAAAACCCTCTCCCATTTTCTTTCCTTACCCAACCCCTACTCATCCATAAGGTCTCATTTTACATTCCAGTTCCCTTGGAAAATCTCGACAATTCTCCGGATTAGGTTAGAGGTTCCCTGCTAGGATTCAATTTTCATCGCGTTTCACTGCGCATTGCTCATCGCCATCATGTCTGTAAATGGAGAGCCTAGTACAGCCTTCGGCTTTCAGTAAGACCACGTAAATATTTATCCGTTGAATATGTCCGTTAACTCTGTGGAAACAATCCCCAAAACAGGTATCTCCATAAGAAAACGGGACTGGAGATCATTCAATTATTCAGTGACCAGGCCTGGAACTGACTCCATTCCGGAGTGCCTACCAAATAGCCTAGCAACAGAAAAATGAGGCCTAATTTTTCCCCTAGAGAAACGGCGGATAAAGGGGAAAGACGTGAACCTAGTCTGAAATGATGGCTGGATTCGCTTTCTGCCGTTCTCCCCTCAACCTCCCTACTGCAGCTTCGGTTCAGCGTAATCCTGGCCCTCGGGTGCCTTGCCAACCTTCCCACAGAGCCCCGAGCACGCGAGCTCAGACTTACCTGGGCCCCGCCCACCGTCCCATGCAACCGCAATAGGCACATGAGCCCGGGCAAATGTGGAACAGAACAGACTGGGGGATGCACAGGAGCAACGGTAGACCCCGTTCGCGGCTGCAGCAAACCGGAAACGCTCTCCAGCAGCAGCAGACGAAGACGTGGGCCCGAGTTCATCGCCGAGAGACCCCCGGCTCCCCCGGGAACCCCAGCCGGGGAGCCCGCTGAGGGCCCACTAAGAACGGCTGCCGCCATCTTCCCCGGGCTCTACTGGTGGCGTGGCGCGATGACGCCAACACACCGCGACGGACGCGTCTTGAGAAGGGGGCTTACGGAGGGGGTTGTGATCCTGCGCACTGGCTGAATGGAGGTGGACTCCCGGGCTCAGGCTGAGTGGGAGCATGCGCGGGGTGGAGGGGCCCCGGGGCTGAGGCAGCGGGAGTGTAGCATCTCCGGTGTTCCGGGATGGCCTATAAGGCCCGCCCGGGGCGGGACGGAGGCGGGCTTGTGGTCCTTAGTAAACACGTGGTCCGGACAAAAGGCGCTGAAATCCGAAAATTTTCCTTTAAACAGTTTTAGACACCTTCGTTCTGGGATTTGATATTACCTATTTAAGAAACCGCTTGTCTGAAATCACATTTTTAACCACACTTTCAAGTCCGGAAATGATATAATATACGTGCCTTTGAAAAACAAATTAAAACTATACGGAGGGCATCAACTATAAAGAAAACCTTCTCTTTTCCAAAGGCACTCCCCCAGTAACGTGTGTATTTTCCTAATATTAATCCATGCACAAACACATTAATGAATAGTTTATCTTACAACAAGAGGGTGTGCACTTGGCTTTTTAATTCATATATCGTGAGCGTCTTTAAGCTGTGTAGGATGAATGAAATGCATGTGCTACGATCTAATAGTTCCTATTGATGAATTTTTGCACCAATTTTTCACCAATACATTATAAATGAACACCCCAATACCTCATTCTGTATTGAGTGATGGTTAGATTCAAATACAAGAGTCATCCTTTTTTCTGCTAGACCTCTATCCAATTCTTCAAATCCTGATATTCTGCTTCTGAAATACATTAACTCAAGAGGGCTAATTTTTTTCATTTCTCCATCTCCGGTGTCACTCTGGTCTAACTCACCATTCTCCCTCACCTGGCTTCTTATAAGCTCTTACAAAGGTTTATTCATTGTTTTCTGCCTCCCTTTTGCTTCGTAGTCCCTCCACACAATAACCAGAGGATTTTGATTTTGGGGGTTTTAGTGGTTCTTTGTGTGTGTGTGGGGGGGGGGGGGGGTGTTGTGTTTGCTACCAGGGATTGAACCCAGGGAGCTTAACCACTGAGCCACATCCCCAGTCCTTTTTATTTTTTTTAATTTTGAGACAGAGTCTCACTAAGTTGCTTAGCACCTTGCTAAGTTGCTGAGGCTGACTTTGAACTCGAGATCCTCCTGCCTCAGCCTCTGGAACTGATGGGATTATAGGTGTGCACCACTGCAGCAGGCGCCCATGTATATAAGCTTTTGTCACTTCCACCTTAAAGCCCTTCTGTGGCTTTCAATCAAGATGCTGAAGATGTAGCTTAGTTGGTAGGTCCTTGGATCTCCAGCACTGCACAAAACAAAAAACAAAAGTAATGACAATGAAATACTGTCTCTCAGGAGATATCTTGAGCCCAGGAGTTTTTGTTTTGCTGTTGTTATTGTTTTGTTTGTTGGCAGTACTGGGATTGAACTCAGGGCACTTTTCCACTGAGCTACATCCCTTTTTCATTATTTTTCATTTTTGAGAGAGTCTCATTAAGTTGCCCAGGCTGGCCTTGAATTTATGATCCTCCCGCCTCAGCCTCACCAATAGCTGGGATTGCAGGCATGCACCACCATGCCTGGTGAGCTCAAGAGTCTGAGACCAGCTTTGGCAACATAGAGAGACTCTGTCTCAAAAAAAAAAAGAAAGAAAGAAAGAAAAAAGAAAAAGAAAAAATGCCAGGAGCGATGTTGCTCACCTGAACTCTCAGCTATTCAGGAGGCACTGAGACAGGGGATCCCAAGTTTGAGGCCAGACTAAGTGACTTAGTGAGACCCTCTTAAAATAAAAATAAAAAGGGCTGGTGTGTAGTTCAGTGGTAAACTACCTCTGGGTTCATGCCCCAGTACAAAAAAAGAAAAAAATAAAAGGCCAATCTAGGTGTTGAAAAAATCTAATTAGTGAAATAGAATAACTTTTCATAGAATAACTTTTGGTGTTTACTAGACATTTATATTTCTTCTTCATTACCTTTCATGTCCTTAACCTATTTTCGTTCTGTAGAAATTCTTTGTAGATATGGGAAATTATTGCAAGGCATTTCTACCAATTTGTCCTTTTATTTTTTTAGTTCATTTGAGGATATTATGGGAAAAGAGATAAAAGGAGAAATACTTTATCTCCATAAGTCATCCTTTATTCTCCCTCAAGTCCAATCTCACTCAAGAAATGACTCCAGTATGGCCCTCTTCTCTCTTCCACTCTACCAACCATCATTTTCTTTTGACTAGTTTATGTACTCCTTCCACCCTCCAGATTGCCCAGAATTATCTTCCAAAAAGAGAAATCTCTTCATGTCACTCCTCTTGCTAAAATAATAATAGCAACAATAATAATAATTAATAAATAAATAAAGCGTTTCCAGGGAAAGACCTCAGTCCACTTTCTCCACCTACTATACCAAACAACGTGTTCCACTCTTCCCCCTTTCTCTTTCCTGCCATCTAACCCTGTGAACACTTCAGAAGAGGATGTGACTTGACTTTTTCCCTCTTTGGAATGCCCTTTCTCCACATCTGCCCATCTTTCAAATTTCCTTCCTATGGACAGTCTTCACTCTCTCCACCTCCATGCTGGCCAAGCGCTTTTAGTTGTTTTGTCTTCTGAGTCATACCTCTATTATAGCATTCATAGGATCATAAAACCTGTTTGTGTGTGTCCTCAAGTATACAAGGAAAACAGGGGCCAGGGTACCCCATAGAAACTAGCATAAAATAGGGATGGATGTATCGATGGATGAACGAGTGGGTGGAATGTTAGCTGGGATGGGTTGGTAGAGGAGGTGGAAAGTCGGAGAAATTTTAAAAAGGAACCGTGTATGTCGAAGACTTACACCAGGGGGAGCTGAGACACCACAATAAAACGGGAAGGCGGGCCAAAGGCTTTAAGCTCTGGGGTAAGAGGCACTCACTAAAGCAAGCATCACGCAACTAAGAACCGCTCACCCACGTGTGCATTACCCAGTCCTCCTTCGCAGACTGTGTTTGAGCTCATCCCACCTCCCCTGCCACCCGCGTCGCCTCCACAGCCACTGAGAAAGCAAACAAAGGGGAGGGCACCCCTGCAGGGCTCCGGCTGCCAAGAGCCAATCAGTGGGCTCTAGTATCAGGGAAGGCTAGTGCCTTCGTTTAAAGGGGCCCAATCGGTTTCTAAGGGATTGAGGGGGGGCGGAGAGATGGGCGGGAAGAGCGGGAGTAAAAACAGCGCGCGCAAGAAGGCTCCCCCAGGGAGGCCGAGGGCTGAGGCGTGGGGCGGGACCCAGGGGCGGCCCTGTCTGAGAGGGCAGGCTGCGCTGCGGCGCGCGCGATCTGGCTGACGCATCTGGCCCTAGTTCCCCAGGACCTGAGGGGAGGGGGAAGAGGAGAAAGAGCCGTGGGCGCGCGTGCGCAGTGGCGCGGGGAGGAGCTGGGACCTGGCAGCGGGCGAGAAGGCTGCGAGCAAGCCGCGAACCCGGCGGGCGGCGGGCGCGCGCACCATGGGGGAGAAACCCGGGACCAGGTAAGGGAGGTGGGGCCACGCGGCGGGGCACAGCCGGTGGCGGCTTGCCGTAAGTGCCGGTATGGTCCCCAGACAAGGACAACGGGGAAAGAATCTCGGGCCGGACCCCTGGGTCCCTAGGGGGCAGCCATCCGGGGCCGCACGCCTAGGTCCTCGAGGATAATGGGGTGGGGGGGGGCGGTGTGCGACTCATGTCTGGGCCCCTGTAGAAAGCGAGGCCTGTCGTCGTGCGACCAATGGATTCTCCTGTGCAGGCTGCGATGCAGGGGCGGAGGAAGAAGGAGCAGGTGGCCGGCCCCAAGAGGTTGTGTACTAGGAGACTGATGCTGGGAGGGGATCCTCCCTAGACTCAGGCTTAACCAATGGAAAGCCTCCTGTCCGATACCCCACAGGCAGTCGGGCTGCCCCCACCTGTCCCAAAGGCCCGGTGGCTCTGCTTCCAAACTTCTGCCTTTCCCCATGTTGCTAGGAGCAACAGCTTCATATTGAGGGAGCAGAGTGCTTAGAGACCCTCTATGAGATTAGGCCGAATCCCTCTTCTGGGGATGGGGGAATATCAGCCCTGGGCACAGCATCCACTCCCCGGATGTTTTCTGTGCAATTGAGGCTCCTTCCTTCCACTGACACCCCGAGTTCTCGTTTTTTTTGGTCTCTAGCAAAATCCACTTCCTGTTGTGACCAACACCCCAAGGGGGCAGAGGGTGTATGCCTTAGTCCCAGGGGAGTAGGAGCAAAAGAAAAAAAGGTTGGGGTTGTATGCCTCAAAGCAGAGGGGATCAGGAATGGGAGCTTGGTCACTAGTTCTGCAAAACATCATATAAATCCCACCACTCCTCTCACCCATATAGTATGAGAATTCAGGTTTCTGAGCATCAAGAGGACCAGTGTGCGATAGAGATAATCAGAGGGAAGACTGACATCCTGGGTTAGGGGTTAAATACCCCACAGAAAGGGGAAGTCACAGACTTGAGGGAGGCCCCCTGATTTCCGTTGTGTGGTTCATGGAGGGGGACGGGTGGACCAAAGTGGACTGCTGACTTGGCATGATTCCCTCCACCCTCATCAAATTCTGGGCCATAGGAAATGGAGAGAATAGCAGGAAGTGCAAAGGGGCATCTGCTTCAGCTACCCTCCCCCTGACTCCAGACACCTCCCTGGTCATTCCCATACTCTGCTTCCTTGACCAGCTTTACTATGTGCATGCTCTGCTCCCTAGCATGGCAAGAGGTGGCTGGGATAAGATCCAAAAGGCAAGTGTCCTGTAGTTGCTCCAGAACTATTGACCCAGAGCCACATTCCAGTTGGCCAACTGACTGTGGCTGTTGCAGCCCTTTGCCAGGGCTCCTAGTGGGAGGAAACACTGGGACAAAGAGGAAAACCAGAAGCTGAGGGCAGGGAGAGTCTGGATGATGCCATAGCAAGTTGGAAAATAAGGTAGGGTCCTTATTCTAGCTGCCACTGTGTCCATGTTTACACTCCTTTATGATTGGGGATATCTGGGACGCTCCATACCCTTTGCCATATGACCTTTGGACAGCTTGGCTTCAGGAAAAAGGGACAAGGAAGTTGTAACAGAAACTTGTGGTGGCAGAATTTCAATTTCTATTATCTGGGGACCCTTCCTAGGGATTGCTGCTGA